TAATATAATTTAACCAAGTTTTACTTTTACCATTTAGACGTCTGTCTAAACTCTTGATTTCGTCTAGCAACCTTAGGTATTAGTCAATTTATACTAAATTTTTTTCTGATTTTTTAAGATTAGCTAAATATTTATTTAATCATATGACTGAATCAGCAAATTTTTGCTGAAGATTTTAATATTAAAAGAAATAACTTGACTTGTATTATAAAAACTTTCTAAATTGATATATTATATTTCTATATTTATTTATTTATAATCAAAGCTTGAATATTTTCAAAGTTAGATAGAAAATGAAGATAACGTATTTTATAGAAAAGAAAAGAATTTGTAAATTACTAAAAGATTTTTACTATTAAAATAAATAAGTTTTAAAAATTTATTATTATTAAAATTATATTTATATATAAATTTGATAAATATTATTTTATTTATTTTTTAACTTTAATACATATTTTTTTTGATAATAATGAGAATAGTAATGATGAAGGTTTCTTATTTCTTATTTCTAAATACTTTTAAAATAATAATGATTATAATTAAAAATGGGAACTGTAATTAATATGTTGCAACTTTTAATGTTGCAACTTACGTTGCAATTAGTTTTAACCTATATATGTTGCAACTAATTTTAGCTTATGTTGCAACATTTTGTAAATTTGAAATCAATTGCTGTATCATCTTTAATTATAATAAACTATATAATTATCTTGATAGTTTATTAGAATCAAAAAATATAAATATATTAGGATGATAAAAAAGATATAAAAGTAATTATCTAATATTATCTATAATAATATGTGATTATTTATCAATACCATTTAATAGTATATCTATAGAATAATTATTTAGTTAAAGTGGTATTATAATTAAATCAAAAATAATAGATTTAAAAATAATATAATTTATATAGTGATATATCTTAAAAATTGGCTAAAATCAAATATTACAAATTAATAATATTTTTTTAAAAAAACAGATACTTATAAAAAAAGTCAGATATAACAATATAATAAATTTTTTTAATTTTATATAAGTTTTTTGTTTAATTTGAAAAGTAATAATGGTTTAATAAAATTTGTTTCTTTATTTTTAATTTAAATGTTTAAAGTTTGATTTTTTATAAATATTTAATTATTTGATTCAATTTGATTGATTTGATTTATTAATTTAATTTGATATATTAATAATTAATTTAAATGATTTTGTAAAACTACTTAAAATATAAAAATTAAAAATATCAATTATAAAATTTAAGAAGAAAATAATTGTTGATATTTAAAAAAAAAGGTTATAGTAATTTAATATTAAAATATTTTTTTATCATTTTAAATTAATTATTTATTATATAATAATATTATAAAAAATAGTTTAAATTCTAAGGTTATTTTTTTGATTAAGTTAAAAAATAAAAATTAGATTAGTATTATAAAGAAACAATTAGAATTTTATTGAAATTCAATTATTAGAAATTAATGAATTCTATTTTATATTATTTAAATAATTTAAATTAAAGTAAGATAATCTTTTATTAACTTTATTTTTTTTATTTATTTGTTTATTTGATAATATTGATTTAATTACTAACTCTCATTATATAATCAATCTTAACCACTTTTTTAATAAATTGAAGTTCTTTATTTTTTATTGTTATATGCTAATAGGATCTATAAAAATATTAGAATAAAAATAATTAAAAAAAAGATTTAAGCAAACAGCTTTTTTTTTATTATAAGAGTCTTGAATCAGTAGAAATGAAAATTTTGAAGGAAAAATATTAATGATTCTCCGATTTTTCATTTATTTTGAGATGTTTACTTTTTGCCTGTTATAGAAACTAATCATCAAAAACGCGTATTCAAAGTTTAAATGCTGACATTACATATTCGTGTGCATAAATACTGCAAATAACTTTACACCTCACAACTTTTACAACTTTTTTGACCCAATTTTCTAAACGACTCTAGAAACTTTTTTATTTTTTTTACATTATACTTATAAAGATGAGAAACGATACTGAAAATGTAAAAATAAGACGACCAATTTATTGGATTATTGTTCTTTGCAGCTCCTAAGCCACTTAAAAAACGCGTCAATAACCTTATATTGCCTTTTTGGTGACATTTTTACAGGTAGCAGCGTTCAGCCCGAATCTCCAAAGACTTTCAGAAAACCCAAATATTCCTGAGACTCGTGGAGAAACTTCTCAGACCGCCGTTAGTCGTAATCCACGTAGTTCACATCAAGTATTGTACCTATTTTTAAACTGTTTATATGATGTAGAACGCGTCTTAATAAGACTACAAAGATCATAAAAGATCTTATAATTGAGAATAAAATATTTAAGAAAATTTTATTTTACAGAATATAATTAATAAATATATGTTTTGTTGCGTCCTAATATTTTAGGATGTGAATGATAGTGAGGAGAGCCATCCTTCTGGTCAATCACACTCACTTAGAACCGAACCAGACAATGAACAGCAAACATCCATTATCAACGAAAGTTCGATCAACAACTCTTTTGTATATGATCCAAAATTGCCCAAGCTGAATAAACTTTCTGTATCAATTAAACCGAGAAGAAATGGATCAAATGTATTTAACTATGATGAATTTGTTGTTCCTTGTTAGTATGAAATTATGACGATGATTTTAAATAAAATTAATATGTTAAATAGGTTTTTATAGAAGTTCCTGCATTAAAAAAGGTGCGGACTGCTTATAAAGACCGAAATGAAGTTGTGGAAAGATGTACTGAAGAACAATGCATTAACTTCTTAATGGTGAGTTATTTTTAATAAATGATAAAAAATACAATAATTTATGATTCGTTGTTATATTGTAACAGATTGATTCTACAACAAATGATATTATGAGTGATGAAGATACCGAATACTTTAGTATCAAGGATTTTATTGTTTATGATGAAAATAGCGAGGTTCGTTAAATCTAGTTCTAACAATATATGGCCGAAATTTTGTCTGATTTAATTCTTAACTTTGTGCACATGACTATTTCGGTTCAATGAGCCAATGAAAAAATTTTTGATCAAAAAATTTTTTATTTTATATAGATAAGCGACTTTTGGATAGAATATGACTTCCGTAGTTCTGAATTTTATTGGAATGGGGTACTTGTCGACGGAGAAAAAAGTGTTTCATGCATTGGAGTAAGTTAATTATTAAATTTTTAATATTTATTTAATGTTCACAAATTTTATAATTTTAATCTTCTAATCTTCTGATATTTTTTAAGGCTCATTTCAAAAAATTTACAATAGAAGGGTATGGCATTGATCATAGTGAAGTCATAATATGGTTTGAATCTTATGTTCGCGAAAATCTTTGGTACAAAGTTATTTCCACACTACCAGAGTTCACTCAAATTTGGAATAATTTTGTATGGAAAGTGTATCTGACAAAATATGTATTGGATTGGATTCATATGAACCCGTCAGTTCTGTTTAAAGACTTAGAATCACACTTTTATAATTGGATTCATAACTTGCGTAGTGGGGATCTATTTTATGAAAAGTGGATTTCTGAATTAAATCCACGAACGCAAGATTTCAGGCTTCTCGTAGTAAACAACATGTATTTAATATGGCATGAGGCTTATTTTCTCGGCTCTGATTATTCCGAAAAACCATTTTTTCAAGGTAAAATTAAGTTAAAATATATGCTTTATTAAAACATTTATTAACAATTGATATTTGAACATTTCAGACGAGTGGAGTCCAGGAAGGTACTCTACCAATGGCAAGGTAAAGTTTTTAATTTGATTACTTTTTCAATTAATGTATATATAAATTTACTCAATTTTTTTAACAATAATTTTTGCTTTAAAATGAGAAGTCTAATAGCAAAAGTCCGGAACAAACTATAGTCACGCCAACCGTGTATAGATGGTTTAACGATATATTTCCAACCCTTCTGGATGCAATAGGTATGAACCATGAAGTAAAAATAATTATTGTTCATTATTATTTTGTGAATTAATTAATGTTTATGTATTAGAGCCAGCCAATTACAATGAATCAGAAGACAATTGGTCCAAACATGTAGAATTTAGTAAACATGAATTTAAAGAACTCAAACATAAAGAAACTATAATTTTCCGAGGATTAATCTCGGAAAATGAAAATACGTATCATCAAGTGCAAATTGATGAGATTATCATTAATATTGGAGACTGTTGCGAAATTTATAATGATGCTTCTACGGAACCAAGCGTTCGCTGGATATGGTATGACTTTTTTTTAAAAAAAAAGCCACCAAAATTTATAATTAACAACTTCTCCTTTCTTTCTTTTTAAAAAAAGTTATATTACAGCAATTATCAATGATAAAAGCGGTGATTTTATTAAATTTGTGTGGCTCTATTCAAGGAATGATACCCTATTGCAGAATTTGGATAAGGATTTAAATCCAAATAAGTCAAAAGAACTATTCTTTACCTTACACTGTGAATGTACCAAAAGATGGCCACTTAGTAGTATTAAGAGGAAGGTTTTTGTAAATTTTGGAGATTCAAAAGTTCCTTGTAAATATATTTAATTTTATGTATTCTTCGACTAGTTCAACTTTAACATTCTTTTTATTAATTTGCAGATTCATCGAACAATGATAATGAGTTCTTTTGTAGATATGCTTACCTTCCGATGGAGACAGAAGGAAGCTTCATCACATTCCATGAAGTTATGACCTTTCCTAACGAAAAAAATGGACTTTGCTGTGGTTGTGGAGATAGTGACGATCAATTTTCGATTTTCAAAAGGAAATACGAAATTGATGATTGCATTTTACTAAAGCCACTTGAAGGAGATAATAAAGAACTTTATACCGTTTGTAAAATTGAGAGCATAAACGAAGAGAAGAAATATGTTACTCTTCGGCGTTTTTATAGACTATCAGAAGTATCTCCTGAACGATATGGGATGGCGAAAAACGAATTATTATTTTCGGATTACTTATTTAATTTTGATAAGTTTCGTGATGTCGTTCGAAGTTGCCACGTAGAATTCTTGCCACCTGGTGAAGAAAAATCTGTTAATTTACTTCATCGTGGCACCGGTGAACATGTAAGGATTATTGTGAAATTCTTCACTCAAATAATTAATTTTCATTAATACTTTATATTTTTATAGTTCTATTTCTCGCGAATATATTTTCGAATAACAAAAGCAATAAAAGACCTCGACTTAAACATGATGGAATATTTTTCTAAAATATTTCCGGACTGGTTTTATAAAGTTGATCCTTGTACCAAATTAAAATGCCTTGACCTTTTTTGTGGAGGTGGTTCGCTGGGAAGGGGATTTGAAGATGCAGGATTTGTAGAGTGCAAATGGTAAACTTTTTAATGATATTTATTATTAACTATTTTTTTTATATATACTAACAACCTTAATCGTAATTCATTTACCAAAGGGCTATAGATACCAATGAATCTGCTATGAAAACTTACATGCATAATTCCAAACAAGGGGATGTTGTGCTCGTCAATGAAAGTGTTAATAAAATTCTCGCAAATGTTATGAGGAATGAAAATAATCAGAATTTACCAAAAAAGGTACGTATCCTTATTCAATTCATTATATTTCTATTAATTCGAAATTTTACTAACATACTCATTCAAATAGGGTGAAATTGATATAATTTTGGCAGGATCTCCTTGCCAAGGGTTTTCACGTATAAACAAACATCAAGATAGCGACAGGAGCATTGCCAATAATTCATTAGTTGCGTCTGTTGCGTCATTTGTTGACTTTTATCGGCCAAGATTTTTATTATTGGAGAACGTGGCAACGATTCAGCGTCAATACGGTAAGCTTTAATCATACAGTTTCATAATAAATTCACTTTGTACTTCTGATATTTAACAATGTCTATTAAAATAGTATTTTTTAGATTAATAGGATGTTTGCTTGAAATCGGCTATCAAATTAAGGTTGGTCTAATATCTGCTATCCAACAAGGTTGCGCTCAAGAAAGGAATCGAGTATTTCTTTGGGCCGCAGGTAATCAAAGTTTTTCGGTTGCTTTATTGGGTTCCTAAGTTGTAAAATTTTTCTTATGACAATTCCTTTATAATAATAGCACATGGTGAAGTGTTACCAAATCATCCACCGGTTTCACATCTGTATTCTAAGAATTTCAGATCATATCGAACATTGTTTTACTTAGGAAATGGCACAAGGTAATTCTATATTTCTTTATAATTCATTAAGCAATTTATAGCAATTTTATGCATTTCTGATATACTTTTTATTTACTAGTTTGAAAGGGATATCTAATGCTTCTGTTGCAAGTTTCAAAATGACTACGGTTGGAGAGATCACTTATGATCTTCCCAAGTTAGATACCGGAATCTACTGGTATCCTACATATCCGGATCACGTTGCTACTCTTAGTAGCTACCAAACCAAAGAGATTCTAAGAAGGATTCCCGTCTTCCCTCCCGGATCTGACTACTATTCAGCTCGTGTAAAGGAAAGGATACCTGATAGATTTTGCAAAGCAGAATACGATTCAAAACGCGAGAAACATAACGGTGGAGAGAGGTATAGATTTTGTCAACGTATCGAAAAAGACGATGTTTTCTCAACAATATGTACTTCAATGAGTAAGTTTTTTTAAAAATATTGTATACGTTTTTTATAGTTTATTTAGCTAAATTTTTTTTTTCAATATTTAGGATGCAATGGTTTTGTAAGAATTATATATTATATTATTATATATTATAAGTTTTATAATATTTCTACATCTGATTGAATCAATTGAATTATTATTATTATTATTTCTTATTAGCATCCAAGGATCGTTCACTTTGAAGAACCAAGAGTCATAAGTGTCCGAGAGGCCGCAAGAGCACAAGGTAGTATTAAGTAACATTTTTATATTTTTATATAAAATTACTAAAACATGTTTTTTTCCATTTAGGTTTTCTCGAAAAAGATATTCTATGTGGTACTATAGCTGATCAGTACAAAGTAATTGGTAAGTATCGTTTTTAATTATAATTTATAAATGAACATTTAATCAAAAAAAAATTTAATTAATAGGAAATAGCGTTCCGAGAAACATCGCCTTTGCTCTTGGACTCCAGTTGGGAAGAGCTTTGACAGATCATGAACATGAGCACCTTCCCAAAAACAATTATATATTATGGAGTGATTATTAATGATAAAATAATAGCAAAATTAAATATCATTTTTTAATTATTAATCTTATTATTAGATTTATAAATATAAGTTAGCTTAATTTTAAAAACAAAAATATAAACATTGCTTAGAATAAAAAAAACTAATGTAATTTGTAATTAAAATTTTAATCATACATATTTATGTATTCGTTGAAATTTTCTTATATTAAATAGTATTTTAGTTAAATAATGTTAAATTGTATGAGTTTGCTTTAAGAAAGAATTCGTACGATTTTTTTGTAGTTTCGTCAAGTTAATAAATACATTTTTTTTGTCAAACTAAAATATACACGAAAAAGCTGAACGTGAATTTTTTGGTCAATCAGAAAGAATTTCTTTTCAAACACGTAAAACGTCATCATCAGTATATCAAAATTTTTTTAAAAAGTTGATCGTCATACTAATGCACGTGACTTGTATACGTATCGCCTATTACATATCGCATTTATTTTATTTATATATTTTTGGCAGCATATTCTGCCAGTTTATCAATAATATACAAATCCATAATGCCGAGCTTTCCTTACAAACTTTCTTGTTGTAATTGTATTAACAGAGCAAAAATAACCTGTTGCAAACTTTTCCAATAATAATTACAGATCTTCTTACTATATCTTTTTGTCCAATATTATTCAATAAAATTCAATTTACAATGGAATTTCGGATAAAAGATACATTATGCATAGCTTCTAATATTACTTCTTCTAATATGCTTTTTTGAGCTAAAAATTAGGTTACAATCACTATCTATCTTATTTTATCTTTTATCTTATCTTTACATAACTAACAATCAGTATTTAATTCATTTTTCCATAAATCATATTCAAATAAAACCTGTTTCATTCCTTTCAGTTTATCTTTTTCATTTATCATTAATTGATATTTATTGTTTAATCTGAAAACTATCTTTCATTTTTGATTGATTCTACTAATTATAAGAGAATCTGATTTAAATACTGTATAATTTGAATAATTATCAAATGCAAATAATGTAATTAAATATAGTATTGCAATTAATTTGAAAAATCTGTAACTGGTTACAACTAAAATATACAAACTAATAATGATGCTACAATTACCAAAATAATGTCACAATTTTATTGCAATTCATGTTGCAATTAAATTTATTAATGTCACAATTAGGTTGCAATTCAAATGAATTTAAAAACAATTATAGGAACCATTTTTAATTCAAACTCATGAATTTGTATATTTTCTGTATTTTTTTTCTAACTTTTTACATTTAAAATTCATATATTTTTAAGAAAATTTGTATTTTACATTTTTTTTATATAAAACAAAATTTTATTTACTTTAAAAATAAAATAATAATACAGTCACACCTCGATATAACGAAGTTTCCGATCCAGCCGATCAGGATTTCATTATAAGAATCTTCGTTATAACGTTAACGAATTATTCATTATAGTAAATGATTACTGATTTCATTACATAAATATAATTTTACTATGATATAATTTTTCCAGAAATATTTTGTAAATTCTAGTCATTTTATTTTAACATGCAATC